CAAGTGGGCTTTACCCCAGGAGCACAAGGATAGTTCAACATCAGAAAATCAATTTTGTAATCATCAACCGATGGAAGAATAAAAACCACATAATCATATCAATAGATGCAGAGAAAGTGTTTGACAAGGTTCAACACCCATTTATGTTTAAGACCCTTGAAATCCTCATAATAGAAGGAACATACCTCAACATGATAAAAGCCATCTATGATAAACCCACAGCCAATATTATCCTCAACGGAGAAAAGCTGAAAGCCTTTCCTTTGAGAACAGGAACAAGACAAAGGTGTCCACTATCACCACTGCTCTTCAACATAACACTGGAAGTTCTAGCCAGAGGATTAAGACAGGAAAAAGGCATACAAGGAATCCAAATAGGGAAAGAAGAAGTAAAACTATCCTTATTTGCAGATGATATGTTAATTTATATGGAAAACCCTAAAAGCTCCACAGAGGAACTAATCAAACCATCCACCAGTTTAGCAAGGTAGCAGGATATAAAATCAACACATAAAAGTCAGAGGCTTTCCTATACACAAACAAACAATCAGAAGAAGCAGAGATTTAAAAAAAAAAGTCCCCTTTTCAATTAAAACAAAAAGAATCAAATACCTGGGAGTCAACCTAACAAAGAAGGAAAAGAACTCTACAAAGAAAATTACAAAACACTGTTAAAAGGAATACAAGAAGACACCATGACATGGAAAGATATCCCCTGCTCATGGATCAGGAGAATTAACATCATCAAAATGGCCATCCTGCCAAAAGCAATATACAGATTTAATGTCATCCCAATAAAAATCTCAATGACATTCATCAAAGAAATAGAAAAAATGTTGATGAGATTCATATGGAACAACAAAAAAGAAAAGAGAAATCAAAATGGAGGCATTACAATCTCAAACTTCAAGCTGTACTACAAAGCCATAATAATCAAAACTGCATGGTACTGGAATAAGAATAGACATACAGACCAGTGGATTCGAATAGAAAACCCAGATATAACCCCACGTGTTTATGGACACCTAATTTTTGACAAAGGAACAAAGAAGATACAATAGAACAAAGAAAACTTGTTCAGCAAATGGTGCTGGGGAAACTGGGAAGCTACATGAAAAATAATGAAACTAGATCACTGCCTCACTCCAGTCACAAAAATCAACTCGAAGTGGATTAAAGACCTAGACATAAGAATAGAAACCATAAAATACCTAGAAGCAAAGATGGGTCAAACACTACACGACGTACACTTCAGCGACATCTTTAAAGACAGAGCACCCAACGCCACAATAGTGAAGGCAAGGATAATAGATGGGGCTACATCAAGTTAAAGAGCTTCTGTACAGCAAAAGAGGCATTACTAAAAACAAACAGAAAGATCACTAATTGGGAAAACATTTTCTCACACAAAAGTAGTGATAAAGGACTGATCACAAAAATATATGGAGAACTGATGAAACTCAATAAAAATAAAGTAAACAACCCCATCAAAAAATGGGCAGAAGAGCTAAAAAGACACTTCTTTCAAAGAGGAAATGCAGATGGCCAACAAGCATATGAAAAAATGTTCAAAATCACTCGTAATAAGGGAGTTGCAAATTAAAACCACAATGAGATAGCACCTCATCCCAGTGGGAATGGCACATCTTCAAACAACTAGCAACAACAAATGCTGGTGAGGATGTGGAGAAAAAGGAACTCTCCTGCACTGCTGGTGGGAATGCAAACTAGTATAACCACTATGGAAAACTGTTTGGAGGTTCCTTAAACTGCTAAACATGGAGGTTCCCTATGACCCAGCAATCCCACTCCTAGGTATCTACCCAAAAGACACAAAAACACTGATTGAATAAGATATCTGTACCCTTATGTTTATTGCTGCTTTGTTTGCAATTGGAAAAACATGGAAGCAGCCCAAATGCCCAAAAGTATATGACTGGATTAAAAAGATTTGGTACATATATACAATGGAATACTACTCAGCAACCAAAAAAGAGAAACACATGTCTTTTGCAGCAATGTGGATGGAGGTGGAAAAGATCATGCTTAGTGAGATATGCCAGAAAGAGAAAGAAAAATACCAGATGGTTTCACTCATAGCAGGAGTATAATGGACCAGACGAGAAAATAACCATATACCAGAGACATTTTATGGGGTTGGAGAGGGGAATGGGATTAAAAACGGGGGGTGGGGGGATGGGGATGGAAGTGCAAGGGATTATGGTGATGGCACACGGGTGACTTGGTGATGGGAAATGCTCGGGGATTACAATTGAGATGGAAACAATATGTACAAAATGATGTAAAAATAAACTGTTATAATAATAATAAAAAAAGAAATAAAGGATTAAAATGTCCCAAACTTGCAGAAGGAAATGAACATAGAAATGTAGTATATAAAAAGAACACCAAATTATCTAAAAAAAAAAAAAAGTTCTACAGCAAGACAAATAGTACTAAAGTTTCCAAGAGCCCAAGGAAAAGGAGGGGGAAAAAAAAAAAAAGATAAAGAAGAAGCAGTTGGTGAAGGGGAAGAAATATATAATGTAATAAGGAACATTTATTAGGCTAATATCTTTTTTTTCTGAACAAACACTATGTCAAGTGTTGAATAAAGAGTTGTATTCAAAACACTTCAAGACAAATAATATCAGCAATACACGAAGAATACAGACATGGTTCATTGTTGAAAATTCACATCAAGTAGAAGGAAAAAAATCACATAGTTATATCAGTAGATGCTGAGGAAGTATTTGATAAATTCAAAATTAATTTATGATTGAAACCCTTGAAAAACTCGGGTAAATGGTATACAACATAAGAAAAGCCATATAAGAAAACCATAATTAGTATTATTCTCAATGGTAAAAAAATTGAAAACTTTTGTACTGTGCTATGATACAAGACAAGGCTTCCTAATCTCACTACTATTATTCAACATAGTACTAGAAACATAAAAAATACCAGATATTATATGAATAAACTATAAAAACAATAAACAAGTTCAGCCATGTGGAAGTTTAAAAAATTAATACAAAAAATGAGTTCCCTTCCTATGTAAAAAATAAAAAAAAACTAAATGCAAATGTCCAACAGGCACATGAAAAAAATGTTCAACATAAACTGTAATAAGGGAAATGCAAATCAAAACCAAAATGAGATGCTAACTAACAGTGAGAATGGCACATGCTAAAAAAAAAAAAAACTAGCAACAACAAATGTTGATGAGGATACAGTGAAAAAGGAATTCTCCTACACTGCTGGTGGGAATTCAAACTGGTCTGACCTATAGCAAGCTGTGTGGAAGTTCCTCAAAGTACTAAAAATGATTCAGCAATTTTTCTCCTAGGAATCTACCCAAAGGACACAAAAACATTAATTCAAAAGGACACCTGCACCCCTATGTTTACCACAGCACAATTTATAATAGGTAAGCCATAGAAGCAACACAGAGGCACAAAAATAGATGTCTGGATCAAGAAGATGTGTTATATTTACACAGTGGAATATTACTCAGTGATCAAAATGACAAACTCATGCCCTTCACAGCAACATGGATGGAGCTGGAAGAGTTTATGCTCAGTGAAATAAGACAGGAAAAAAAAGAAAAATATCAAATGGTCTCACTTATGGGAAGAGGAAGGAGAGGAATGGGAAGAGCACAAGAGACTATGGGGATGGTTCACAGGTGAACTGGTGTTGGGAAATAAGACATTGTGCAAAAGTAAAGGATGTGTAATAAATATATTTTAAAACTCAATCAATCAATAAAAGGGAGGAAAAACACACACAAAAAAAAGAAAGAAAGAAAGAAAGAAAGAAGAGCATACTTAAATGCTAGAATGAGACTAAAGGATTTCCTGTGGAAACTGCATCACAACGATAGCATGAGATATACTACATACCATTAATATAAGATTTAATTAGAGGAACTATTTACTAAAAAATTTTTATGAACAGACTATGAGCAACAATACTACCAAACTTATCAAAAAGTATACTTGCTTCAAAACTCTCCATTAAATATGTCCAACAGTCCAAAGCAAGTATGTCATAAACTTTATCTAGCCAGTTCTGTATTATTGAAGCTTCCCATACTTTATACAAACCGTGTCCTAAAACATTATAAATATCCTGCCTTGACTTCCACCTTCTGAAAAACTACCAAGAATCGGTTTAGTAGTTTCTCCTTTTCTTAAATAAGTCTACATAAAATTAGGTTTCTTTAATCAGCAGATATTACCACTGATATTTTGGGGACATAAACAATCAACAAGTGAAATAAGAACACTTTCATTAATTTATTTTTTATTCAGATTTTCTATTAAAATCTGCTTTTTAGAGAATGATAACATATTTAATTGACATATTTATTAAATAAAGAGGCCTATATTCAATAAAAGTGAAGTACACCAAAACATACCTTTCTTGTTGCAAATATGGAGCATAACTCTTATATTAGTTATTATAAGCCACTATACAATATTTCACTCTCAGGAATTAAAAGGGTGAAAATGAGGTAGTGATTTCATCCCCTAAGGAGAAGACTAATTAAGATCACATTTGTAAAACTATGTTGGTTCACTTAAGCCTCCTTACAATCAGAAAGTCCACAATTTAAAAGAATGTTTATTTACAAATCTAAACTAGAGAATAAATGTATATAAAAAGAAAATAAAAAATAAATACTTGCTTACACTGAATCCATGTGGTTTTGAGAGCTTTTATAAATTCATTATTTAAAAAAAAAACAGTTAAGATATTTCAAACTGTGTATGTTAAAAAAAAACAACTTTAAGGGTTGTAAAAGTTTATATATACTAATGCTACTGAAGATATTTATAGGTAAATTGTTAATCCTTAAATAGTTCCTTAAACATTTTAGATTATGTTTCCAAATAAGTCTTCTTTTCGAAAGTATTTTAATCAGTCATTAAGATGAATAAAACACATGGAAAGGACTTTAATGAAAATATTTGCAGTACTTTCTGGAAATTATACTATTCTATTTTGTTAATAAAAGGGAAACAAACCTCATATGTTGCTGGACCAGGTGTAATCTCTTTGGACTCTTTGAAACGTTCTGATGCTTTAACACAGAAGGGTATAGAACAAGTTTTCCATAAAATGGGGTTGTATGTTGCAGGCCCTAAAAGAAAATAAATGCAAAACTATAAATTATATTTTTAAGTCATTGATATTGATCAAATGAATATTACTCTTAGATTCATGTTCTTAATGTATAAAGTTAGTATCCAAAATATTGAACCCACTAATTTTAATGCTTAAAACTATTCAGTTGAGAGTTCTAAAACAACCATAAAATAGTGGCATCTGTTTATCTAATAGAATACAGCAACAATTTTCCAAATTATAAAATGGTACATATACATCAGAGTACATGTACATATACATCAGAGTAAAGATACCCAATTATTTTATTTCATGAATATTCACTCATATTTTAAGCAACGAAGTACTTAAAATATGTACTTAAGCTGTTTTTGGAGATATGCACTCAAGGGGAAAAAAAGGTGGCTTAATAGCATTCTGGTTTTTAAACAGGATAGAAATGAGAAGCAAAGATGGGACACAGCATTATGAAGCTATCTGCAGCCACAGCAGTGCAATTTCAATCCCTAGCCAGGGAGGTGACCAATATAGCAGAGCAGACCTCTCGTATTACCTTTTACTCCCCTCATCACCTGTTGCTTTACTAGTGTTTTTCAGTAAAGCTGCCTGTTCTGCTCCCCACTCTGTCTCAGGTGCATCCTCTACCTCCCACCTCTAGCCTGTACCTCAGCTCTTATAGGCATAAATAAATATATCTTTAGACAACAGATACTCAAGACTAAAAAGGCTTTGTAGGTAACTGCTTTGAAATGAAGGGTGTGACCTTTCAAAATTTATGTATTAAAACTCTAATCCCCAGATTGATGAAGAGTTTGGCGATGGAGTTTTTAAGAGGCCATTAATTTCATAGGGTGGCACAGTATGGGATTAGGTTCCCCTGTATATAGCGATTTGAGAGAGTACAACAACCTCAATCTACAAACAAGGTAGTGGGCCTCACAAGGAACTGGATTGATTGGAAACTCCTTATTTGATCTTGGACATCCCATATTCAGAAACTCTCAGAAAAATAATTCTGTTGTCCAAACTACCCTCTCTATTTTATTTTCTTTATAATAATCCAAATAGACTGAGAAAAAAATAAAATGTGTTTTGACCTGCAAGATTAAAAAGTGTAACAATTCCATGTTATTATCAAATTATATGGGTTATACTTACAGTGTAGATAATGTGCAGTTCATATATAACATTTTTACAGATAGATTTTTATGTAAACTAAATTATGCTTGGGAAAATGTACCAGTTATTACAATATCTATAAAATAACAATAACTACCATCAAGATCTGCAAAAATAACCCCACAGTCAATAAGTTGAAAACTGCAATATTAGCTATAAAAATTCATAAAGCCTAATGCAACACAGAGCATCTTAAAATGATGTCTTTCTTTATAATTTTTGTATGTGTATTAAGGTAAAGTGTATTTACAACATTGTACTTGTTTTTGCAGTTATAGGTTGAAGCCTCTATAAATGTATGTTTTGCACTGTCTTAAAGTATATTTTCAATTATGTGTGCTGCCATTTATATGTATAGGTCAAAGGTTTACATTTTTTTCAGCAGTTCTGCTTCTCAGCTGTAATGTACAGAAACCATTTTCTATTTATTTATCTAAATGCCACATTTTGATCACTAGTCATGGAAAAAGAAATCTCATTCCAAATTAAACACCTATGGACAGTCTGCCTAATCATGACTAGAATATAATGGGAAACTCAAGAACAGGTGACTCTTACAGTGACATATTTTATAATCCTATGCCAAATCACTTCCCATGAAATGTCAAACAATGCTGTAGGGCAAAAAAAAAAAAAAAAAATGGAGATAACAGGAACAATGAATAATTTTAAATGAAAAAAAAGACATTTTGGTTTAACTACTTCTATAAATGAATAACTACTTTTATAAATAGTCCTCTAAATCTCTTATTTAAAATGGTTTTATTCATAGTAATAAGCTAAAACTTATAAATAATGTGTTCAATATTGTTTATGAATGTTGAGTCCTTCATTTATATGAAGGTGACAAAAACTACTAAACAAATTTCCCATATTTGAACATATATTTGTAAAATGAAAAATATCCAGGAAATTGTTCACTGGAATAGAATGAATGGCTTTAAAATATTCAATATCATTTAAAGAATTTACATTATATGGAACCACATTTTCTCATACAAATTTTATTGTTCAATTTATAAATGAAGTAAACACAAGATAAAAAGTTACTACTGCACAAGGAAGTATTGGATTCAATGTCAGCAACACATTTCGGTTTAATAATCTTCTGTTTGTAAGACTTAGTTAAACTATAACCTTAGAACTACCAGTCTTTTTAATTTAGTGTATAGGTGATGAGAAATAAAATCCAAATAGCGACCTCCCAAGCGGCACGACAGATTAAACTACAGCACCATGAAGCTTGCCACAGCCTAGATGCTTCAGTGCAAGTTCGATCCCCCACCAGGGAGGTGATCCACATGGCATGGCAGACCTCTCCTGACCTTCCCATTCATTGCTCCTCTCAGCAGTGTGCTTCGTTGATCTGCCTGTTTTGTTCACCACTCTGCCTCTGGTGAATCCTCTCACATCTACACTTCAGGCCTGTACCCCAGTTCTGTATGCATAAGCAAACAAATCTTTTAAAAAAATAAAAAATAAAACCCAAATAATATGTAATAATTTACTAAAATTTCCATGCTTTATCATCCTACTTACATGTATCCAAAACCAGATGAATTATCACATATTGTAGCAATTGAAGTTTAGTATTTAAACATGACATCTTAAAGTCATTAGACAGAGTCTAAGAATTGTTATCAAGATCCAGAAATGGAAAATTTCAATGCATTCCAACATAAATAGACTGAAAACTGCCTCTGCTGGAATCTACATATATCATGCTTCTTTTGAAATATATGTACATTGCATTGATTAAGCAACTGAGTTGTCATTCTTATGATAGGGACTTAGCTTGACTGAACTTACATCTTTAACAATAGTGTCTGTTCATCTGTGTATATCTAAGTACATACTTATCAAAATATGCATCCATGTGGCCTGACATAGTAAACCTTTTAAATATTTCTATTAAAAATATTGTTATATTGACCCTCCTTAGTGGTGCAGCAGGTTAAAGTTTCAGCATGAGTTTGATCCCTGTCCCTGGAGGTGATCCACATGGTGGATCCCCTCAGCAGTGTGCTTCGATGATCTGCCTTTTCTGCTCCCGACTCAGTCTCTGGTGAATCCTCTCACTGCCCCTGCACCTCTGGCCTGTATCCCAGTTCTATACATATCAATAAAATAAATCTTAAAAAAAATGTTATTGCATTAATGTAAGTACATTATATAAATTTGAGTGGCTGTTATCCATTTTGCAAATATAGAAAACATTTCTATGTCAAGAATCAGTGATCTATTGAACATTCTAAAATTATGCATGGTTGTTACAATTTTCTCTATTCATATCTGAAACTCTGTATGTCTCTGTGCAGGACAGGGGCTCAATTAATGTTTATTAACCTGAACTCAGCCAAACTGAAGGAGCATAAATTTATGAGTTAATTAGAATCTACAGCTGTGACTTATATATGTTTTTTAATATTAAATAATTTGTGTGTATAGACCTGGGGTACAGGCCAGAGATTCAGAAGCAGTGAGAGAACTCACAAGAGGCAGGATGGGGAACAGAAAAGGCAAATGGATTAAGTACACTACTGAGGGGAACAGCCAGGCAAGACAGTAGAGGTCTACTGTGCCATGTGGATCATGGTGGGGGATCTAACTCTCAGTAGTTGCTGAAAGCTTTATGGTGCTACACTTTAACCTGTTGTACCACCAGGGAGTGCTGCTGTGACTCATATTTTAAACATTTTTTAAATTACTTACTTTTTCAATACTGGTTTATGGAAAGATGGATACATGAATATGATATGTAGGTGATATTTCATGTAAATGTTTGTAAATACATTTAGAACAATGTTTGCTGAAAGGAAAGCATTTAGAAGGAAACTGGTATTACTAAGATAGGAAAGAGACTAACATTTCAGTGTGCAGCATATACTGTAATATATTATTAATTCTATTATGAACATGCCAGATTATTTCAATTTGGCAGACAAACTGAAATAGTGTACAAATGTGTAAAACTTACTTCATAATAATAGAAGATAAAATTAATTGAAGTATGTGTATGGCTATTTTAGTCTATTTTACTACTAGTTATTTTATCCTTATAAGTTCTCTAAACCGTGTTAAGTTTTTGCTTCTTCCTTTTTTAAAAGAGGTTAAATTTACCCAGAAAAATGTGAGCAGATTCTGAAAAGTTATTTCATTAAGAACCAAATCATTCTACTGCTTTGTATTTGTGACATCATTGAGAGAAAAGAAATTATTATATAAATTTTGCAAGAAATTATAAATAGAAGAGCTATAACTAGCTCTCTATTATAATCAACTCTTTTCACCAATTCATATTGCCCACTTAATTTTATAACTGATTCTAGCACTTTCTAAAAATATCAAATTTACAAAACAATTTCATGTTAATTGAATGACAATGTTTGCTTTTACCTGAATATGACCTCTTCCTCTCAGGTATTTAGGACTAAGAGAGAGAATAATCTGTTCTGTTTGACTAATTCAGGAATTTTATTCCTGGTTTTCTATTCCACTAGAATATCAAAAGTAGATATTATTGTGGATCCCACCTATACTTTTGAATTTATAATAGATACATTCACATTTTAAGAAAACAGAAGTGTTAACAATTCTAAAATATAATCTTCAAAATTCCTTATTATCATACTATTAGTTGTTAAGACTGCCACACACTGCTAAATTTTTAAAGCATCATTCTTTTAATCTAAGATTGAATGTTATTCTAGATAGTTTTGTTTCCATCTGTTGGTGAAGGCTGCCTCTCTGTGGCAGAAGGCCTATCTCACTTCCACTAATGTATAATTTATCCTTCCAGTTTTCTTTTCTTTTCTTTTTTAATAATAGTAGGATTCC